CTACTAGCCCCAATGCTGTCAGTGGAATGTAAACGTGAAGCGACATCGCGAACGAGTTCATCCAGAATCGGATGGCCGATTAAAGTGCAATTTGTGCAAGGCCTTGCGTTTCTTCGACACGACGAAAAACCTCGGAAGTCACATCCGCAATAGTCTAGCATATTTACCTGCTGGTGCTATATATATATATAAATATATATTGATATAAATCTACATGCAACTAGCTCCATGGCTGTAGGTGTATAGATATCGAGATGCATCTACATATACGTATACATCCATATACATATGTCCGTATATATATATATATATATATATATATATATATATATATATATATATATATATATATATATATATATATATATATATATATATATATATATATATATATATATATATATATATATATATATATATATATATATATATATATATATATATATATATATATATATATATATATATATATATATATATATATATATATATATATATATATATATATATATATATATATATATATATATATATATATATATATATATATATATATATATATATATATATATATATATATATATATATATATATATATATATATATATATATATATATATGGGATATATATATATATATATCGCATAGACAGATCGACATATCGCTATGTATATATATATACATACATATATACATAGCATGCTATACAGTAAGTTGGTGTCGTCGTGAGCAGCACGACGGCACGGTCGCTCTTGTCCAACGATCGTAGTAAACTTGGTATAACCGCACACGTCCGCACGTGGCGCGTCGGTTAGTGGGCAGCCGTAGGCTGCAGCGTCAGGCGTAGGAAAAGATGCAGGATCGGCTGTCGGTGTCAATGCTGGGCACTGACAGTCCACTTTTTATGTACTGCTGGGCCTGGCCTCTTCCCACAGGGAATGGTATTTCATACGACAATCGATCTCTCTGTTCAACGTCTTGGGCTGTCAAGCACTTCGGCCATACGACACGAGCTACCCACGCTCCAGCAACGACGAACACGAAGCTATACTGTAACGGGGTACGTAGCCCCAAGTGTACCCCTGATTACATGAAGTTTGAGACATCAGCACTTCGGGATACCTGGTACATGGTACCAGCGTCGTCAACCAGTGGCTGATGACATACTTTACTTAAGATGACTTGTAGTTTGTAAATTTATCTCAAGGTTAGCCTACCTATAAATACATTCAGTTTACAACTTACCTTAAAGTGATCAAAGCAGATGCGGAATTGACGCTTGAAGATCGCAGGTATAAGGCTACAAAGTCAATAGGTGTAAATCTGGTACCTATAGATAACAGTTTATTCCGACTTATAATACATTCCTCTCCGCCAGATTTTGAGTGTCGAAGGGGTTTGAGATTCCCAGACGCACTAATTATGCACATTTATTCCTGCGTTCGAGATTTCAGACGGCAATCTGTGCTGCGGGAATGTGTGAAATTTTTGCACGAAAAAAGCTAGACACTGTCAAACTTCTTCAAGAATATTTTTTTTTAACTTCGCGTTTTGTCGACATTGTTATCCAGTTAAACAAAAGTATTGGTACATGTACCTTACAAAAGGTTCCTCTATCAACAACCATCTATTTAGCTTTTTAAACGCTACTCATACGCAAACTACTAGACTTCTTCACTGCTATCCGTTGAGCAACGAGTTCAATCCTCGTTGATGTGCACATCACTCGTCGAGTACTGGCAAAGCTTGCCCGACGGACCGTCGCCCACGTTCGACGGCGTCTTGCTGGCCTGCGACCACTGACACACCTTGACGTTCTTCTTGCCGTCCGTCGTCTTGACGAAGATGTTCTTGAGCGTGGCCTGGTCGTTGTTGTTCTTGTTGACAGTGACGACGCTCACGAGTGGGTCGATGGCGAACACGTTCTCCACCGTCACCTTACGGGGAATGTTGCCGCACGTGCCGCACGAACGGTAGAGCTTGCCGAACTCCTGCGCGAAGAAACCCTTGATCTTGACGGTGCCGTAGCCGTTGTGCTGCACCACCTTGTCCTCGGCGTAGCGGGCGCCGCAGTTGGTCACGGTCGTCACGCTGGACGCCGAGCCACCCTTGATGCTCAGCGCGTCCTCGCACACGTCATCCCACCACACGTTCTCAATGGTGCAGTCGTGGTAGTCGCAGTGCACGCCCTCCTTCTGGTTCTTGCCGATGATGGCGTTCTTCAGAGTGCCGCCAGCCTCCACGAGGAAGACGGCCGTGTCCTTCTGGCCCTCACCACCCGAGCACGTGATGTCCGAGCGCTCGAAGATCTGCATCTTGCCATCGAACACCTCGCCGGCCTTGATCGTGTACGGCTTCTTGTAGCGGACGATGCCCGTGCTGGCCGGCCACGTGCCGTCCGGGACGGAAGCCGTCGTGTTCTTGACGGTCTGCTGGATGGTCTGCTCGACATCCTCAACGTTCTTCTCAACGGTGGGGGCCGTGGTCAGGGGGGTCTTCGACTTCTTGGAAGGCTTCATGGTGGGCGTCGGCGTGGTTCCGTCTGCGTGACCGAGTCACCGTCATCGGTCTGCTCCTCTTGCGACGACGGAGTCTTGGCTGCCTTGGACATGTCCTCGTTGATGTGCACGTCGCTCTCCGAGTACTTGCACAGAGGGTTAGACGGACCGTGACCCAGCATCTTGGGCTCACCGTTGGCGTTACCCTGCGACCACTGGCACACCTTGACGGTGGGCTTGCTCGACTTGACCCAGACGTTGCGGAGTGTGGCCTGGTCGCCCCAGTTCTTGTTGACCGTCACGATGGCGTTGGTCGGGTTGAGGACGTACGTGTTGGACACGGACACCTTCTTGGGTCTGTTGCCACAAGTGCCGCACGAACGGTAGAGCTTGCTGATGTCCTCGCCGTAGAAGCCGTCGATGTCGACCGTACCGAAGCCGTTGTGCTGGATGACCTTGTCGTCGGCGTACCGGGCCCCGCCACCGATGACCTTGGTCACGCTGGACGCCGTTCCGCCCTTGACACTGAGGGCGTCCTCGCACACGTCATCCCACCACACGTTCTCGATAATGCAGTCGTGCTTGTCGCAGTGCACGCCCTCCATTTGGTTCTTGCCGATGATGACATTCTTGAGGTGGCCGCCGGTCTCGACGTTGAACACGGCCGTGTCCGCCCCGCTTTCGGATTGGCCCTCGCACGACACGTCGGAGCGCTCGAACGTCTTCATCTTGCCGTCGAAGACTTCGCCAGCCTTGACGACGTAGGCCTTTGAGTACTGCACGGTGCCCTTGCTGGCTGGCCACGACCCGTTCGGCAAGGAAGCCGAGGTGGCAACCGCCAGGAGGAGAGCCGCAGACGTCACGAACGGCGCGAAAGACTTAACCATCGTGGATTGGTGTGAAGGGTTTAGCCAAGTTGTTTGCCCGAGAGGAGGCGAATTGATTAATGAGCCAAAGCCACTTAATCGCTAGAGTCACTGCGATCATCAAGGAGTCATGACCGTGTGTACGCTTCCACGACTCCGCGGCCCTAGTGTTGCTGCAACGACACTGTCGTGGCATACTGTATGGCGGACACAGTCTCGTCTAAAAACATAATTACGATAGCTTGTACAGTGCACTGGAAGTTGTGTGGTAAAGTCCAACCTACATCCATCATTGATCACGTCTTGTTATGCTTAACATTCTGCAAAACGCCTGAGCCTCGGGCATCCAGCAGGTGCATGCTAAAAAAGCGATGAGGATTACTCTCGAGTCTGGGACGACAAAAAACTTGACAAGGGAATACTAGCTGGAGCTCAACTTAGACGCGCAGGTAGCTCGAAAATCATGTAGTGCCGGGCCACCAGATCCTGGTTGATCGCTGTTTCCCCTTTCGGATACGAGCACCTACGAGGTTGATTGAGTAATACTAAATTCTTTGTACTGGTACAGTACTTGTATGGAGAGTCTCATGGTAAGTTTAGTACTTCCGCTGTGGAATATTTTTGTACCAACTTCGAATGTGGCATAATGAATTTACAGTGTAAATTTGGATTTGATCTAGAGAAACAGTAAGCTGTACCGTACAGGATAAGTTCAGGAGCATCGTTGCCAGCAGTACAAACTTTGTAACAAAGGGCTTGTTGTCGGCACGCTTTTTCCTTGAAGATCTGAAGCATCTGCTTCATTAGTCGAGTTAATCTCCAAGCAATGGTCTTCTCTGACACCATACTGTACGCGAGGTGACCGAGGTTGTGGACGGCGTTGCACTGAAAAGTGAGCACGAACCAAACCTCGTTACAGTAAAGATTGTCCATGCTTACCACCGAAGTTGCTCTCCGGCGATTAGTTTAGAGCGTTGTCCAAATAGAAAAGTGATGACTTTTTCACAACGACTTTTTGCGTTTCCAAGACCGTCGAAAAAAAGTTGGTAGCCATTTTGACAACTTTTAAGTCGGCAAATAAAAGTAGGACAGCGACCAACTTTTCTGGGCTTGCAGCGACTTTTTTTGGGGGACGGCAGAGCTGAAGCACTACTCAGCATGGAGAGCGGCGACAGCGACGGCGACGCGAGGGGTTCCTGCGTCGGTAGCGACGCCATGGACGTCGACAGCGGCTTGCTGGGTGTGGTGGGGGTTGCGGAGGACGTTGCCGAGGCAGCCATCGATGCCGATGTAGCTTCTCAAGACGAAGTCGCGTCCGATCAGCGCCATCCGTTGCCCCAGACACGAGCTACAGTCACGGGAGTGCAGCAGTACGCTGCAGCTGATGCAGATGTTGAAGCCATGGAGATATTCGTGATTATCTTGCTTTTCATCATGCTGGGAGCTGTACTCAATTCGATGGACTGGAGATCTCTTCGCGCGCCCCCCGGAGAGAAAATCAGGGTTCGCTCAGATTTTTACCCAAAGTTGAAGGCTCAACGATCACCAAAAGCATATCGCAAAACTCTGCGTTGTTCACCAGTGTCGTTCGACGCTCTTTGTGCATTTTTGGAGCCGCTGTACTACAAGAAGTATGGCCTTCCCGAAAAAAACGCGCAGTATGCTTTTGACTTTGGGCTTGCCGTGCTACTGACATACTATGGTAACGGATGTGGTCAAGATGGGGATGGAATTGGTGGGGCTGCAGCGCAGCTCCGAATGTCATGCCCTGTTGCTAGTCGGTATATTGCTAAACTGAAAGAACTTCTGCTCGAAATGAAAGACGACGTGATATATTTTCCTACGTCAGATGCGAGCGATGAATGGTGTGAGTTGGCCGATGGTTTTGCTGCACGCAATGCTGATTTTCCTGATGTAGCTTGCATTTTCGACGGGGCTCCTGTACGCACTTAACGACCGAAAGACTTTCAGGTATGTACGATGCTACGTTTCCATCATGTTCATGTTTTAAAACGATTGTACGTGATGCAGGGATTCTACGACAAGAGTGGCAAACCTTCCTACAATTGTTCGGCTGCGATCGACTACCGCTACAAATTTCACTACTTAGGTGTTTTTAGTGGCAGCAATTCGGACCAGTCAATGTGGAATCAGTCCGCTGTTCTTTTAAACCGTGGCCTTTTCTTATGGTGCCATTCGATGAGCGGGGTGGCAAGCGGCTGACGGCAAAGCAGCGCTGGTAAGGATGATTGTATCGCACATTTTACGCGAAATACTGATTTGTTTCTTGCTATTGTCTGTTTTGTGGTAGCTACAATTATCATCTCTCGCAAACGCGCATTCTAGTCGAGTATGTTTTTGGGAAACTAAAGACCCGCTTCAAGACTCTGCATGGAGTGACGGATCGAAAGAAACACAACACCAACGCTCGCGTAATTACTGCCGCTGCTGTTCTCCACAATTTGCTGATCGACATTGGAGACAACCAGTTTAAAGTGAAGCGTAATGCGGCCCAGAAAGCTAAAGATAGACAGGATTCACGACGCGTGATGCACGCGTTTAACGAGGGTTGGGATCGAGCGCAAGCTGAAATTGATTTAGCACTCGCAAAGAGAAATGCATACGCAGATCGGTTTTACGAAAACGATCACGAATAAATGAGAGTGTAGCAAGTGTTGTACTCGAGCGTGAGCAGCACTAGCTACCGTTTGATTGATTCTGCATCCACTTCGCCATTTCGCTGTAGAAGCCAGCCGTAGCTTGGTGCAAACCCGCAATACTGGTTAAAAGTGCATCGCTGTTGGCTTGTTGCTTAGCATTCGACTCATCAATCGACGACGTCAGCTTTTGAACCAGCCGAGATATCTCCCCATTGTCTTGAGACGGCTGGTGACGAGCCGAAAAAACACGTTCAATTGCTTCAAACCCCGTCTTGAGTGTATCACTCATTACATCTGCAGGTCGTTTTGTGGAAACGTTGTTATATTGCTTGTCACGTTGTTTCTTTGCTTTAGCTGCTGCCTTCGCTTTTTCACGAGCCTCGGTTGGTGATTCACATGAATCAGAGTCCACGTTATCATCTCCAGCGTGATCATCGTCATCACTTTCGCTCGTAGGTAGGCTACCTCTAGCTGGGACGCCAGTCTCCATGAAAGCTTCACCCGTGCAGCCAGGTCGACGCGAAAACACACCACACAGCAGCGGCCATAGTGCTGCAAGATCTGCGCCAAGTTCCTTCAGATAGGTCGGATGCACTGACGTGGGTTTGCACGTCAGCTTGCGCCCTCCGCCGCTGTCGGCAGCACTACTATCTGAAGATTTGTCAGGCTCATCGACGAAAAAATCCACAGGCATTTCTGGATATTTGCGCAAGGTGTCATCTCCCTCGTCACTACTGGAGTCGGAATTAGGAGGGTGATTTCCTGTGGCAAGCATACGGCCTCTCTTTGCCTTGTATGCGGCTCGAACAGCATCCAGCTTGTTCTTGAGCTGCTTGACAGTCACACTGCGAGGTTCATCGTCACCCCACGCGTGCTCCAACAGGGCGCGCTGCTGAAATACAGTGATAGTGTCCTCCCACATTGCACGTTGGGCTTTCGTGTTCGAGTTCTTTGTAGCAAACTTTTTTAGGATCTGCTTGTTTTGAAAACGAGCTTCAATCGCCAAAGCCGTCAATTGAACGGTCCACTTCATCGTCTTTACATCCGTCGTATCTGCTTTCTCCTTGCCCTTGGAGCCACCCTGGGAGTTTTTGCTAGCGCGTTTTGCTTTTGGTTTTGAGGTGGACTGCGTCGTGGTTTGCAAAGCCTCGGTTACGACCTTGTCCACGCTGATTGCAGAGGACTTGCGCATACCCGCCATCTTGGGCTTAGGTGTCCTGCGAGTTGTTGCCGTGGCTGCTGTTCCATTGTCCACAGGCTTGGCAGACTTACGAGCCTTTCCTTGGATGGAGCAGGCTTGGACTTGGTGGAAGTGTCTTCTCCTGCTGTCGTAGAGGTCGTTCTTTGAGCAACGCGCCTTGCTCTTTTGCGGGGGGGGGGTTCTTGATTAAATAGGCTCTTGATCACTTGCGCTAGAGCGGTCCTCTTCGTACTGCGTGTAGTAGGTCGGCAACCACAGCGACGGTGGCGGCTTCGTCACAGTAGCCAAGTGGGCGGGGTTGGTATCTGCTGGAAATCTTGAATTCTCTTCTTCATACCCGTCTTGCTGTGATGGTGTTCCTGACATCGTGGCTGGGCAACAGCGCTGGTGAAGAGCGGCACGCGCACGAAGCAAGAGTAACAAGCCTTACGGCGACAGTCGAGAGGAAACCTCTCGAACAGCATAATACAAAGTAAACCCTTCCAAGCAGCATGACCGAAAGGAAACCTGTGCAAGAGGATATGCTCTTAACAAGGCTGAGGCAAAGAAGTCATTGCACCAACTTTTCCGAGACTTGGACAAGGAGATGACTTCTTGTGCCTACTTTTTTCTATCCCCCAAAAGTCATTACCGGCAAAAGTCACCACCTTCTTCATTTGGACTACGCTCTTAGGACGAACAGCGTCACGACGAATGCGGCATCGCTTTTTTTCGTACCAGCCTGACCGGCCGACCCGAGAGTAATCCTCATCGGCTTTATAGCATGCACCTGCTGGATGCGCGGGGCTCAGGTCCTTAGCGCACGGAATTTCTGGTACAAAACAGCATGACTATACTTGTTTAATAATGAATGTCGGCTGGACTTATTATAATCCACTGTACTTCCAGTTGTTAAACGCACCCCGTCCCGGTGCGACGCCACGTAGCAAATGACAGCGGCACCGTTCGAATAGCAAAAAGCGTAAGTCGCCTCCAACGCATTGACTGGCCATGTCAAGTTCACAGATGAGATCTATCGTCACCGATTTGACACGCAAGCGAAAAGAGCCAACACTTGTTCCACCGGCCGCAAACCGCAACCAGCAGCATGACACCCGGAAAACACCTGGAACACCCGATTTTTGCGGTTGTACGATACTGAATAGAGTTTGCAAAGGAGA